CTCCTTGGAGGAGAGAGTAGGGGCCAGTGCAGCAAAAGGAGGTGTTTTCAGTATCGACCTCTACTTTGTGCACTGGGTACCTGACTTCTGTCCTTTAGGTGGGGAGGGACCTCGGAAGGCCGTATGGTTCAGTGCCTGCTCAGAGCAGGGTGAACTTCAGTTGGGTTGCTCTTGGCCGTGTCCACTCAGGTTGGAGTATCTCTAGCAGTGGAAATTCTTGATCCAGTGGGAATGCTCAGTAAAGCCCAGCAGAGCTGGGCTACTCTGTGCTCTTAGCATTTACTCTGCGATGGTGAGGAGTTGAGGAGGGTACATAAAGCTGTTTTACAGCAAAAGGTATAGCTCCGATTATGTGTGTCTGGAAAACTCCTAGTAAAAGCTATTCCTCTTCACATCCTCGAGCCTTAGCTACTACTACTGAGTATGTTGGTTATATTCAGACTTAGGCAACCACGTTGTCAAAACCATTTTTTTCAGGTGCAGTTAGTCATTCTTTTTAACTCCCAGTGCAAGCATGGAAGCCCCACTCCAGTTCTATGTGGAAATGAACAGAAAATCATTCTGGGTACAGTTTTAGCAGGTACCAGTGTTACCCATGGAAGAAATAAACAGGCAAAGGTTTCTCTACAAGTACCCGTTGGCTGATGATGTTGCTTTAAATTGTATCTCTCCTGTCAGAAAATTATGTCCCTGTATTATGTTAAACGTACTCTAGCAGCTGCAGCCAGAGAGTTAATAGAAGTCCTTCATGAAACGTTTTCTTGCAAGGAAGAATCCCTGTGTGTTTTCCTAGGGTGTGAATTGAGGGAGCGATGAGAAACCCTCCCCGGCATCCCTGTGTCTCCGCTGAGCTGTAGCAGGCGATCAGCTGTCTCTCTTACTCTCAGCTGCTCTCTGCCCACTCTGTCTGGTCTCTCCGTCTAATTTATTTGAGACCCACGCTTTGGGTTTGATTCAGCCTGGGTTACGCCAGCGCTGGCCGGTGCATGGCAGTGCTGCTGACAAAATTTCCGCCTCAAGCCTTGCTCACAGCAATGCCAGAAACTCTTCCTCCCGTGGGAGCTGCAGATGGGCCACGCTTTCTTCGGGAGAGGGCTGTAATTTCCTCGAGGGGTCACAGGCAGGGCAGAGCGGGGATGTACAGAATGAGCACACCCCCCAGGCAGGCTGCAGCCCGGGGCTCCGGCTCTTCCTGGGTGCTGGAGAGGACAGCCGCAGTGCTGGAGGTACTCCCCCCATTCCTGGGCTGCACGGTGTTCCCCTTTGCCAGCTTCACAACGGGCTTTTGAACACCTCCCGCGCTTCTCTGGCTGGTTGTGTCCGATCAGAAGGCACTGCCAAACTTAGTGTGATTTGCTTCCCATCATTTTATGTTGGTGTGCCCGCTCTGCAAATCCGTCCCCGGTTGGGCTGGGTATTCACGTGCGGTCTGGGAGAGCCAGGCAGCCGTCGTCCTTGCTGAGCCAGCGCTTTGGGAGCAGGAGCAGCAAGGGGAGGATGGACCCGCTTGGTCCGCTCCGTGTGAAGATGTACTGCTGCCCCGCTGAGAAAGGAGAGCGTGTATTTCCAACGTGGGGCAGGCAGAGGCTGTGCTGCGCCCGTATCCAGAGGGCAGCCCAATGCTGAGCGGGGCAGGATGCCTGTGCCCACCTGAAGGAGCTGGTGCTGCGGTCCTGCCTGGGCTCCATCCGCGCGTGGCTGGAAAGGACGGACAAACCTTTGCTTCATAATGGGGGTGGAGGTTCCCCACGGTTGTTCACCAGGAAGATCTAGTTCGGTGCACGCAGATGCTGTCAGCCAGACTGGTCGCTCTCAAGCGTTAGTTATCGTCGTTTCCAGAAGAAATTTCTTCTTTCTGCTGTTCTAACACTTCTCTAGTTGATGAGGAATGTCATTTGATAATTACTCAACTCGTTTTGCTACCGAATTTGTACTTGAGTGTCATTAATCGAAGACACCATTTCTTGTTTATTTTGGCCAACTTTGCTGAAACTCTGGGCATCAGTCATACTGTCTCTCAGCACCATACCATTACAGAAATCTTTTTATACTTCCCAAGCTCATTAATGAATCCAAAATAAAGCAAAAGATTGTCTTTTTTAAATCGCAAAGGGAACAGCTTTGTCCCCGAGGTGCTCACTCTCTCCGGGCTTTGGAGGGGAAGGAAGGTGCTGTGGGCACCACGGGTGCCTTGGGCTGTATAGATGCATTTTTGCTTGGTTTACCATTACAACTCAGGTTTTATAACTGAACTCTGTTTGTAGTGCTGGTCAGGAAAACAGTTTTATGAGAATATAAAATGCTTATTTAGTATTCATAGCC